GATCGAGTTGTCCAATGTCTATTTCTCGGAATATGATGAGTGTCTATGTACAAAGTCTCAGGAATGAAGGAAGAGTTGGTATAATTGGAAAACTTTTGTATAAATGAAGTATGGTTACACGTTCTCTTACTCCAATATGTTTTCTTGTTTATTAGTGTTTTTTAAACTTTCTCATGGCATATCTTGGCATCTGGGCCTTAGATGATGACCTTCAGTGAGAGAGGGTGCCTCTCCTTTTCAAGGTAAGAAGGGGTAGACAATGCACTTTCTATGAGTGTAAACTCCACTCTCACAAGCATCTTCATGGGTGTGTGTGGATGTGCATCAACACCAGCTTGCTTGGTTTCTATGAGTAATTGGAGCGTAAACTCCACTCTCACAAGCTCAAAAAATGTGTAACTGATTGTTTGAGTTGTTTTACAGTCAATGGGAAATCTGTCATCTGAAAAATATTGGATTTGGCTTTTGCTTGTTGAGCGGATTTGTACAAGTGACATTGGAAAAATAAAAAAGACAAAAATAGAAGAGTCGATAATGTGTAAGAATTAACAAAAAATAAAGCAGCAAAAGTAAAACAGCAAACTTCTGGTTTGATGTGGTCAAGTGTTCATGCCTTACAAGGAAAATAATGTTCATTCGCGAATAGTATCTTGTTATTGCCAATAATTCTCAATTTAAGATTTTTTATGTGCTGCTGAAAATGAAATGTGTAATAATGTGGCTGATGTTGTGAAGAGCTTGGAGTTCGCACAGTTGTGGCGATTGCTAAGTAGCTTTTTCTGTAATACAAGTTTTAAAAGTCATGATGCTCATAATAATTTAACTTTCTTGCAGTTAACATCTCCTTTGGCATCAACAAAAATTGTGGATACTGATAACCAGAAATATCATGCTGAAGATGATAATTTATCCCTGGCATCTTCGTATCCTGCCTCTGAGCAACTTCCCGTTTTCCCTTGCACATATTTATGTAGAGTAACATATTCATACCCAACTTGGAATATAAAGCAAGAACTGTCTTTTTGGTATAATGTCATATTTTGGAGTTACAATTGTGTTCCTACATGACGTTCATATGTTAAGTGTACTAAAAGAATGAGGCTGTGTCAGTGAATAGCTTCCTTGGTATAATAGGTATATTCTCTTATATTTTTTTCGTTACTTCATGGTTTGACCACTATATTTTGTTACCACTGTTATTACCATTGTTGAAGGCTTAAAGGAAGTCCACATCTCCATTCATGTCATATTTGTAAAGATACTCTGTCCTTTTTTACTATGAGATCACCTTAATGGGAATAGCAATATTTTTAACCCGCTTCATTTGTGGAGTCTTATTTTATGAAAACGGTTACATGATTTTATATAATTTACTAGAGCTATGTTACTATTTTATTGACTTGTTACAATGCACTTTCTAATTCGAGATTAGCACATGAATCTAGTGTGCATCACTGACTACAAAGCTATTTTGGGGAAATCAGCTTTCATCCCCTTAAGTGGGATGGGTTTGTGAGCATCTCACCTGTTAACTTAGTTGTAGTTCCTTGACACACATAGTGCTGCAACTTCCATACGGACAATCAGATCTAAGATCACTGTTGCATCTGCTCCAACATTTAGATGTGTTGAACGTCTTGAGAGACGCAAGGAGGTACTTTATTGGATCCTTAACTTTTTCTGTGGCTTGTTAGGGTCCCTCTCTTCAATCTCAAGGAGAAAACGAATTTGTGCCCTTGAAATTTAGAGTGTTGTCTACATTTTGTCTTTTTTAAGGCAGTTTTTGTACTTGGCTTCTTTTTTCCCTGTTTCAGTTTTACACGAAGTTAGACGAAAAACACAAAGCTTTAGAGGCAGAGAAGGCTGAATATGCTGCTAGAACTAAAGTATGGCTTTGCTAGAACTGAACCATGCTCCTAATGAAATTCTATCTCATCTTTCATTTATTTTTAATCTTGAATTCCCTTGTCTGCTGTAAAACATAGGAAGAAGCGGAAGCAGCCATTAAGCAGCTCAGGAAGAGCATGGTTGTCAAAGCAAATCCAGTTCCTAGCTTTTATCGTGAAGGACCACCTCCAAAGGTTGAACTGAAAAAGGTAATTTGATTTGGATAACCTTATTTCTCAAGGAGTCTTGAGTGACTTTAAGAAGTGAGGAATGTCTCACTTTCTATTTCCAAGCTCTTTTTGTGTTCCTACTGCAATATAAATGTACAAAATATGGTTAGTTTATGTAGCATTTGGAACTCTTCTGCTATAACATGTCTATGTCAAAGTTAGTTCCATTTGAATTGGTAAGCAATGATTTCAAGATTAGTGACCATATTGAAATTCAAGGTAAAAGGCTAATGGGATGGGAGAGTGCAGCACCTTTGTGCTTTTTGTCAACAGCTTATCAGCTTACAATTGAATATCTATTAAAAAAAATTGAAAACGTGATTGTGTTTAGTTGTTTTGAAAAAGCTAAATGCTCTTCTCAGAAGCATGGCAATGGCAGCGTTTTAGAATCATTTCTTTTTGTTTTTAATAATTTTATTAGCTTAAAATAAGGCTAAAAGCAGAAGCCATAATCAGTTGAAAACACCTTAAAACAGCTTTTAGCTTTGGAAAAAGCTCTAATCCACTGACTGTTTAATTATTGAGAACAAGAGCATCCTTTTTACTTTACTGAGATAGGTTTTGGTGGGAAGGTCAGGGTTAATTCTTTGGATTCATGTAGCTCTCCTGCTTGAATAAAATTGAAAAGCTCAATTTTTGATTAAAAAGTTATTATTGATTTACAAGCTTTTGCACGAAATGTTGATAAAATTTAAAGGCAGTTTAGTTTTGTGATAGTAAATTCCAGCAAAATATTTGTACACTTTATGCATCCCGGTTCTATACTGTGTGTGATTAACATATGTTGGATTTAAGTCCAGTTGCCAGTAACTCGTGCCAAATCTCCAAACCTAAGTCGGAGAAAGAGCTGCAGTGATGCTGCTAAGTCATGTAAGTCATCCACAGATGAAAAGGGGGCTTGTGCTCGGACAAAACGTCATAGCTTTGGGGTTTGCAAAGAAGGCAGTACTAAACCTACTACCCCCAAAAACAAGGATGTGATTGGTGGCCGGAATGTAGCTGCTGGAATAAGCAGAGAAGGCAGTTCTACCTCTACCAAATATAAGAACATGCAGAGCCGGCAAAGTCTTAATGGTGCCAACAGAATCAAGGATCAAGCAAAACAGGTTAAACAAACATCTAAGACTTCTGATGTGGTGCAACAGAATAATACAGATATTTCCGTTGTAGAAGAAATGACAAAGGTACCCGATCATATTGCTGATATTACTGTGGTTGAGGAGACAACAAAAACTTCTTATTCTGTGCCAGGCCAGATGAGCGCAGACAACGCTATTGTGGAAGATGCAAGAAAAGATTCACATATTCAGAAGGTGGCTTCAGATATTGCTGTGGAAACATGAACGATTTGTCCTTTTTTGTTTTTCCTTTTCACTTTGAAGCTAAAAGGGTCCTGAATTTCCTTAATTGCCAAAGAAGTATTGGCATGGTGAGACAGTCATTACCTTTCTTGACTGCGATGACTTGGTGAATTGCTGTTTAAACTTTTGAGTTGTATATTCGTGTAATTTATATTGCTGTAAACATTATATAGAAGAAACCTCCCCGGAAACGTTTTGTTAATATCATCTTGTTGTGGTCTAATTGCTTGCTTTCTGGTTCTCATATGCACGATATCGAAGGCTGTGGGGGATTGAAATCTGCGGTGATCATTGGATGGTTGCATTTTTCTGGTGCATGATGTTGAGTTATAGTGGTGTTTGATGATGTGTGGTTAGAGGAAAAATCCAAGGGGAAATGCTTTTCCTTTCGGTTTGCTGTTTTTCTTTTTCCACTGCTTCTTCTTAGTTTGGTTCTGATATTCTAGGGCGGTGGTTGGAGGATTCTGTTGCGGTTGCTTGGAATGTCCGAGTGTTATTTTGGCCTTGTGGACCTTGTCGTTGTGAATATGCCTAGTTCAGTATTCAGGTTTCACCCAAGTTTTAATACTCCTTCCGTCCCTTAAAAAAAAGTGTTGTACTTGTCATCTTAGAATATTACAAAATATTCGTTAGGTTGGAAAAATTACAATACATTTTAGTCTCTGTTTTTAGTATAATTATTTTTTCTAATCATATATATATATATTACTATTTAAATTTAAATTTTGAATTTGTAAGGGTAAGATTAAAAAGAAAAATACAAATATCAAAATTTTTTAAAAAGTTAGATTTTTGAAATATAACTAAATAATTGAAACGGAAAGAATATAAATTACCGTCTTTAGTCCTAGGTGGTTGTGCTTGCATTACATTTACATAATAGGACTGGCAAACTACAGATGACAGATACCAAAATATTTGTAACTAGGATGAATAGAAACAAAAATCAGGTGCACTATGGACCCGTTTCCTCACTGGAAATCCACTTGTTTGAGAAACAGAAATAGGGGGAAAATTGACATTTGCAAATTTGCTTGTCTAATCATTTGCAAAATGGTATCTGTATACTGCAAAATGGTATCATTTGTCTAATCATTTGCAAAATAGAGTATCTGTTTTTTCTCAAAATCCCATTTCTACCACCTTTATTTTTTTTTTGGTTCATTAATCTATTTATTCTTGAACATATATGCCCAAAACCACGTGGCAATGAATTGAAGGGCCAAAATTTGAAGTAAATTAATTTCTTCTTAAAATAGAAAGACGTTTATGTATAAAAATTTTCTTATGAATTTTTCTTTCATGTCGAAAGATACAGTAATGCGCGTAATGTTATATGTCTTTAGATCTGAAAGAAAATATACCTATTATTTTTATTTAACATTTCAAAATTATTATATTTAGATAAATTGGTCAATTTTGACCTAGATATTACACTTCACGAATCTTTATATAACTTTAAATTGAATATTTTTTAAACATGAAAGACTACTATACAATAATTTCCAAATGTGAGTGACCATTTGAGCAAATTTTGCCCATTATCCTGAATTTTCTCCTCTCCCTTTCCCTCCTAAAATCAGCCATGGCCACCATTACCGTAAACTTCATCAACTCGAATTTCATTCCTTATCCCTTCAAATACCAATTCTTATCAAACCAAAATTCACTCCTTGCAGATTTCCTAAATCCCAGAAAACTAATCACCTTAAAAATCCAATGTTGTACCAAAACATCACCCAACAAGAAGCCCAGAAAACCACCCATGGACAAGAGTAATTCTTCTAAGAATCCCAATTCCAAACGGGCACCTAACCGCAGAAGATCCTCAACATCCTATGGAACGTCGAGGAAGTCAGTTCTGAAGAAGAGCTTTTCTCAAGAGCAGGTGTATTTCAGCGGTCCGGTGTCAAATGACCCCGTGGTCGGAATCATTGGAGGTGGCATGGCTGGCCTCATCTGCGCTCTTTACTTGGAGAAACGAGGGATTCGTTCCACTGTTTTCGATACGGTTAGTTTTTTTTTTCGTTTTGATTTTCCAATAGATTCCCATTTCATTTTATGGGATTTTAGCAGTGAAAAGTAATTCAATTTTGTACTGCAATTTTTTGGAAGAAATAGTAAAATGGGTTCATTTAGCAGAACCAGAAGCTAGAAATTGGGGGGGCAATATTAGTAATGTTGTGTACTTGAGGAGTACTCTCACGTTTGAGTTTTGGAGGACAATTGCAAGAATAAATGAAAACTTTTAAAATTCAGGGGACAGAATGTGATTCGTAAAATTTTTGAAGTGGTGACCTTGCATATCTGCCAGTGATTCTATGAATGTGGAGAATGCCTGTGGTTGTAAGAAGTTCGTATTGGTTTTACATTTCTTTGTGGGGTGGATGATTTTGGAAACCAATTTTACCATTTGGATGGGAAGTCTACTTCAGAACATGACATGTGGCTTTTGTGTTTTTCCTCATAGGTTGTACTCCACATTAACATGAGTGCAGAGCAGAGTTGCATAAACTTTAAAAATTTAATGGAGTCAAGTTGTTGATGGAATGAGTCCTTAATGTAGGTACGAATTGGGAAATAGTTGACTGCTAACTCAAAGAACATGTAAAGGGAAACGTGTTATCTGCTGTTAAATACAAAGATAGACTCTTGAACTTCTCTGAGATTTTAGTGGTAGCTTAAATTTGTTTTTTGTTTCAAAAATGACAATGAATTTTATTTTCCCTGTTGATGTATACTAATATTGGACTGTGCTAAAAAAGTATACGCTTTCCAATTATGATTTAGGGACTTCATGGGCTGGGAGGAAGAATGGCAACAAGAATTATCGATCCCGAGCCCTTGATTTTTGACCATGCAGCTCAGTTTTTTACGGTGACTGATCCTGAGTTTGCTAAGCTGGTTCACTTGTGGTCTGAAAAAGGGCTGGTACGGGAATGGCATGGTACAGTTGGTGAGCTTGAGGCTGGTGGTCATTTCACTCCTCTTCCAAGTTCTCCACCCAGATATATAGGTGCTAATGGAATGCGACCTCTTGCAGATACTATTCTATCTCAGGTAATAGCAAATTCAAGTTTTGTTTCTCTTACTTATCAATGCTCCATACATGAACAAGGAGAGAAAATATTGTTTTATGTTTATCCTCCTGCTTTGCAAGTTCTGTGCTCTAAGCTGAGAAGAACTTTTCCACCGATATATGTATCCCCATTGTGCTTTAAAGTATCTAACTTGTATATAAAAGGAGATGCTATGGAAACAAATGATGAAATAGTAAATGAGAACTTGGTTTAGAAAGAGACTAATCTACAAGGGCCCTTGTATAGAGAACTGCATTCACTTCCTCTAGGATACTTTCTGCCTTGGCCAATTAACATTTTTGCAATGGAGTGACTGCCCTTTGTTCCTCTATCTCTACTATCTCCATTTGTGCTTGAGCTTTGGATAGTATAGACTAAGTGATGATGATTGAGCTAATGAATTAGGTGACAAGAGATGCAACTTATTTTGAGAATGATCTCATAGGGCATAATTTCCCTGATATTGGTTATTTAAGCCCTTGCAGATTCTCAACCCTTGGCTGTCGTACTTCTATATATGTTTAAGTTAATACAGTAGATTCCTGAATGAATAGTGAATTCTGTAAGATGTTGTTATGATTATGTTCTGAGATCTACACAGTTCTGAAATTTGTTCATTGTTGCTTAAGCCTTGCACTCCTAGTTTCTAGCCGTGGAATTTTGAGGCATCAGACTAATTGTTGAGAAGTTGTCTCGTATTGTTTTTGTAACTTAAATGCTATTGTTTATGTAACACACATATTTTGATGGAAATTGGCTGCAACCTTTTTTCTTGACTTCTTTTATATTTAGTTGGCGGCAACCTTTTGATGTTGCTTGGATAATGTGAATTGCTCATGGAGATTAACTTTCATCTTAATCCTTTTAAGCTTTAAGTGTGTATGTGGTTCTGTCAATGTCCAATTTGGTTTGTAAGGATCAAAGTTTTACATGTATGCAGACCCATTTGGTTAATGTGGTGCGGCCTTGCTGGGTAAGTACGCTTGAGCCATTTAATGGAATGTGGCACCTGAGTGAGAAGGGAAAAAATTGCGGGCAGTTTGATGCAATTGTTATTGCACATAACGGTAATCATTTTGCTAGCAAGTTTCATCTACTGCTATTGTCATCTCCCTGTTCTCCTTAAAATTTTAAGTTATGTTTTGTGAATTCGGAGCACTCTGAACTTTTCATTGCTAGAATGGATAAAGATTGGGTGGATTAAAGGTGAAAAAACATCTTTTCAAACATAAGGAGGATAAATTTAAGAAGCCTGTTTAAGGCCTTCTTTTATTTTGAAGTTGCCTAATGTCTGGATGACCTCTTTGATTCAAATCTGGAAGGAAATCAGAGTTGGGAGAGGCCAACACTTTCTAAAGTATTTGTAATGCCCTGGACCCATGGGCTAGCCTGAGTAACTTTTGAGCTGAAATTACCGGTTCAAAATGGTTTCAGTAGCCCATGGGCCTAGGCTTATATATTAAGGCTTTTCCTTTGTGCGACTCTTTGAAGCGGTGTCTCTGGTTCACCCCTCCTTTTAGGACCTTTACGAGGACGTAGAGGTTGGTAACAATCCAAACTGTCTTCTTAGTCGTGTGCGGATTCTAGAGGTGGCTTGTACAGGCTTTAGAGGTGGCCCCGTTGAACGTGACACTCAATCCCGCACAGTATTTAGTTCCTTTGCACTTTTTTGCATAGTCGGAACTATAACACCACTAGTCCTAGGCTCACCCCACCTCCACGCAGAGACCACACGAGATTCGCTTTGATACCATTTATAATGCTCCGGACCCATGGGCTGGCTTTAGTAACTTCTGAGTTGAAAACTTCAAAATGGTTAATCCAAATTATATAATAACCCAAGGGCCTAGGGTTTGCTCTGATACCATTTGTAATGCTCCGGATCCATGAGTTGGCCCGAGTAACTTTGAGTTGAAACCTTCAAAATGATTAACCCAAGTAATTCAATAACCCATGGGCCCAGGCTTATATACTATGTTTTTTCCTTTCCTCAAGTCTGATGTGGGACTCTTTGAAGCAAGGCCTCGCACTAAATGTCACGTTCCAAATCCGATAACCGTATTTAAAAATATTTAATTCAAAATTTGGAGTGCAAGACCGGTATATCCCCCCGTAGGATGCAAAGCTATCTATTGAATTTATTCATACAAACCAAATAATTACACAAACCATAGTATAAGCTTATAAAAGTTCCACTCCTAGAAAATCACTCTTATTATTTTTCATATTAAACTCGTAACACACACATATATATATATGTATATATTACTAGAGCACAAAAACCATGTAGGTTACGCTTTAGCAATTTTAACTCTAAAAACATACCCTATCGCAAAAACTATTCTATAAATCTGCTAGACTTAATTCGCATCTGTAGGAGAGTAAACAAGTGGGGTGAGCACCGAATACATCTACTGGATCGAGTATATTAATATCACATAGCATATTTAATAAAGCCATTTTGTGGAATTCAAGCACAATTAGCACATTACATGCATATTACATATGTAATGCACAACTATAGATGAATTCATATTTTATTATTCTTTAATTATAATCTGTGGAGTCTTTTCTCTTTTCACTTTACCTTCAGTTAAAGAATATGCTACGGTTACTATTATATTCTGTGACAGGACCATTATATACCACTATTCTTTCCTGTGGTAGGGTCATATATCGGTTAAAACCTTAGTTTGGATAATTACTACGGTCACTATTCTTTCCCATGACAGGGCCATTTGTTAACTATTATATCCTGGGAGGGCTGTACCGATATTCAAATGTGGCAATTCTAGAGTCCTTTCGCATCCTTTACTTATTTTAACAAGTCCAATATGCTCAAACATCATAATACTCACTTTTAAATACAAAGTATAATCATAATAGGCACATAATCATCAAACAATTACATATGCTTAAGATGCTTTAGATGCTTTAAATAACGAGCTTAAGATGCTTTAAATAATAGTTCCTTATCTCAAAATCTAATAGAATGTATGACAGTCTTTCTTCTCCTACCTGTCTCCTAGATGCTTCTGATTCTCCTAGTTCTTGGAACACACAAATAGAAGGTATGAAAAGAAGCAAAAGCGGTGCATCCCAATTAATAGTTTTATTTCTACTTTGCCCCTTCATTTCTTTTAATACTTTTAAAAGACCCCAATTAATAAATTAGTTTCATCCTGAGCGACACAATTTGGGTCATGGGGTTTGGGGTATTTCATCTTACCCTCACAAAAAAATTTCGTCCTGAAAACTTGACATGCCTGATTTATGATTTGAATAGGAACATCCTCATATGCCAAATTTTCTTGTAGTTGCAATGGTTCATATTCTAATACATGGTTGGGATCAAACACATACTTTCATAGAAGAGACACATGGAATACATTAAGTACCCTCGACGAATTTGGAGGCAAGGCAAGTCGATATGCCGAATCTCCAACTTGTTCCAAAACTTCAAAAGGGCTGATACAATGAGGGCTTTGCTTTCCTTTCTTCCCAAACCTAAGTATTCATTGAAACTCAAGATCCGTTCTTTTAAAATCTGCCCAACTCTTTTGTCTATCTTGGGCTGCCTTAATTTTGTCCAAGTACTAGAAGAATCAGGAGTTTTGGGGAGAAAGAGGTGAAGAGAGACTATCATACCTGATTCTATTAGATTTTGTGGTAAGGAAGTATTATTTAAAACATATTAAGTTCAAAGTTGTAAAATTGAGGTGCGAAATTTTGATGGTCTTAATGGCCACTAGTTGGGAGAAATGAGACTTAATAGTTGTAATGAGTTTTATTGGAGTGATTTCTTATATATGTTGCTATTAAAATATAATCAAGCATGTAGTGTAAATATATACACAAAACTAAAAAGATTTTGGAGCATTAAGAGTCAAGAACATTTTGAAATTCAACCATTCCTGTAACAACAGTTAGCTTGGAGCAGTTTTGGGAAATCAACTATAATTTAGTATAGAAAAGTTGAAATTGAGTGTCATCAATTGTGTTTGAAACTAGATTCAAAAATCTTTTCGACGGTATAAAATTTAAGTTCTAGTTCATTTTTTAAAAATACCAGAAAATCTGTAAAGTTGGCTAAAAATCAGAACTTGCACAGCTAAGGACTGAGAAATTGCAGTGACTGGCGGTTTGATTTACACCAATTTATGATTTGAATCTCTAGAAGGTATTTCTAAAGATAGTTAGTGCTTTGAGTCAGTTTTCAACGACGCAAGTTTTATGATTTTTTGATATATGTAACTCGAATTACAATTTTCAAAGGAATGTTGCCGGTGTTGATATTTCAAATGACAGCATGGTTTCGACATTAGATTTCATTTGTTCACAAGTCAATTGCGATAAATTATGTATTTGACTATTTTTAGGAGGTCTGAGCCAATAGTTAATGTTGTAGTTTTACTATTTTTGGAGATGAGAACAGATTGGTGTGACTTTTGGCACGAAATTAGAGTTGGTCTAGGGATTCAGTAAGTGGCTCTTTCATGTCTCTGTGATTTTTAAAATGTATGCTCTATTTGCTATTTGTTACAAAAAATGTACTTGATTATCTATTTGCTATTTGCTATTTGTATCCTCTGGGGAGGATATGCCGGTGATGCACTCCAAATTGTAAGTTAAATATTATTAAATACGATTATTGGATTTGGAGCATGACATTTAGCGGTATCAGATAAAAGGTTGCTTAAAACATTAGACATAAATTGTCTATTGTAATTTAAGACATAGCTTAGGAATAGAAAGCATTGTTTCAAAGATTTGTAGATACTAATGGTTTAACTTGTCAAACGTAGTCAAGTTTGTGAATGACCGGAAAGAATAAAAATACTGATATTAATAGCCAGACTCGTGCTGATGAGGTAGAGAATGCAAAGATGGAAGTCCCACTGATAGTCTTAGTTCATAAAAATAGAAATGCACCTCCTAGAGATGACCAAGGTGCACTTAGAGAACAAGAGAAGCTTCTGCTAGTGCTCAAACTGCTGCAACCAACACCTAGACAACCTTTAATGGTAATAGTATGCCAGTAGAAATGGGGTCAATTTTACAAACTGTGGCTCAAGGGATACAGAATCAAAATAAAATACAACTGCAATGGCAACAGTTAAAGCAACAATGGATGCAAAGCTTTTATTTTATGAACTCCACAAGGCGAATGCTCCAAATTTTGAAGGGGGACCTTTACCCCAATGTGGTGTTGAATTGGATTGCCCAAATGGAGACTAAGTTCAAGGCTCTGAATTTTCCAAACAATATTCAGGTTCAAGTGGCGATTCCATTTTGAATTGGTGATGCAAAAAATTGGTGGTGCAGAAAGTTGGTGGAGATCAGTGGAGCCTATGATGGATGCTAAAGAAGATGCTATAACATGGGAGTTCAGAGATGTTTTTCTTGATCAATGCTATTCAAGAGATTTAAGAAAGAAAGATAAAATGACTTCTATAATCTGAAGCAAATTGGAAACATGTCGGTGCTGCAATATGCAAATAAATTTGTTTTCTGGGACGTTTTTATCCAAAAGCATTTGGAATGAAGAAAAAGAGACGGTAGCTTTGAACAAGGACTAAGGGACGAAATTGAGCGCCAAATGTCCTCCCATAAATTTACAAATGGTATTAGTGCGAATCTCGCATGGTTTTTGCATTGGGTGAGCCTAGGATCAGTGATATAATGGATTTGACTACGCAAAGTAGTGCAAAGGAACTAAGTATTGTATTGGGCTAAGTATCATGTTCCACGGGGGCCACCTCTAGAGCCTGCGGCGCTCTAGAACTTGCGAGGCTAAGTGCCATGTTGGATGGGAGCCACCTCTAAAACCTGTACAAGCCACCTCTAGAGTCTACACACAACTAAGTGGATAGTTTGGATTATGACTGACCTTTGTGAGAACGCAAAGGTCCAAAAAGGAGGGGTGAGTATGAGGCCCCGCTTCAAAGAGTCCCAGACTCAAGGAAAGGAAAAAGCTTAGTATATAAGCCTGGGCCTATGGCTATTGAATAACTTGGGTTAACCATTTTGAACCCGTTGTTTCAGCTCAAAAGTTACTCAGGATAGTCCATGGGTTTGGGGCATTGCAATATTCGCTGATCATTTGTATCAATCTGATAGTTAAACTGATACAGTAGCTTTGTTTGGAAAGTTTTCGCTTTCTGTTGATACGTTTCCTTCATATCACAAATATACTTTGTGGGTATTGCAAGACAAAGAGACCATTCATTGTTCTTTGTAGCTTCAATAAGTGTGAGTTGGCTTTTCTTTTGTTTCATCCATATGTGTTTATCATTTGTTATGGCAGGAAAATGTGCAAATAGATTGCTGGCATCATCAGGCTTACCACTAATTGCAAGACAAATGAAGGTATGGAAGAGTTAAACTAAAATAGAAATTTTCTGCTGCTCTGGGTTCCCTTTTTTTTGAGTTATTACCCCTGTTGCTTGCAGAGGCTCAATCTGAGTTCCATTTGGGCTCTTCTTGCAGCTTTTAAAGATCCATTACCCCTCCCGGCCAGTGCAACTGCATTTCCTTTTGAAGGAGCTTTTGTGAAAGGAGTTGATTCCATCTCATGGATGGCTGACAACACAAAGAAATTCTTAGGCTCTCATAGCCATGGCCCTCACTGTTGGACATTTCTCAGCACAGCTACTTTTGGAAAGCAGAACAAAGTTCCACAAGTTAGTGAACTTCTTTATTAAATGCCTGATTTTGTTGAAGCATAAACCTAGATCAGATTCTTGGTTGGCACATAGGGTGGGTTTGTAAAATAAGATAGCGTTAAAAAAGTGGTCATTTAGGCAGTTTACCTGATGCCAATTTATTGCTTAGTTCTGTGCATGGTTAGCTGTGATTGATAACCTTCCTTCTTCCTCGTTACTGACAGACCATTATGTTGGTCTTTTAGTCTCTCTTGTGTGCTGTTGATCTTTATCAGCAAATTGGGGGAGTTAGTTGTAACCAGAGAGAGAAGATTTTTATCTTTCCCACATTGTACTCTGTAGGCCAAGGAACTGAACCTTGTCTGGAATCTGAATTACAGATGCATAACCTGTTGCATTTTTTCATTGAGTAGATTGTAGAAGAGAGTTAAGGGTCTACTTGAACGCAATTTTTTTTTCTTTTTTAGGCAAAACCCAATAGGGGGAGCAATGCCAGCCCCGAGTTTTATTAAAATATAAATAAAAGATGGTGGGGCATGTAAACTTGATGTCCAATACAAGAGATAGTTTGAAAGAAATGATTTGTTCCATATGTTAAGAGCTAATTTATTGGCTATGCCAGGAAAGTATTCCAGTTGCCACAGCACAGAGGGTGAAGGAAACTATGCTTGCAGATGTTGAGTATGCACTAGGACTACCGAAAAGCTCAATCCAGACACCCATTTTCAGTCGAGTGCAATTGTGGTAATTAATGATGCTCACTAATTTTGTTGGAGCTGTGGCTGTGAACTGTTTGATGCACTTTTTTTTCCCCTTCTTTTGGTGAGTATCTTGAGAATTTGGCTAGATTTTCACCTTTGCTTGGGTGCTACTTCTTGTTCCTCTGCCATGTCTATGCTCTGGTCTCTCACACACATCAGTTATTTGGTTTTCTTTTGCTATCATTTTCTGATGAGGTTGATTCTGCTGAGGTACTCGTGGTCCATGGTTGTAAGCTGGCAAGTAAGCTGCTTAGTCTGTTCTTATATTCTTCACTTAAGATTTCTCTTAAAAGACAACTTGAGTTTTTTCATGAGCTCCTAGCTTTGCCCGTCCTTTTGTTGAGTCATTTTTAGAAGACAATTTTATGTGCAGATCCAGCTAAATGTGTTATTAATGGATGTAGTGATTACGCTTTTAAATAATGTTCATTCCATCCTGGTGCTTATGATTAGGATTAATAATGTTCATTCAGAAGCTTGTGCAAATTGTCCAAATGGTCATAAAAGGTAAAACGGCTCGTCTAGAATTTGATATTTGGCTGCAAATAGACATAGCTTCTCTTGAGCTACTATTCAGTTGACATTGTACTGGTTGACCTTGATCTCAAGTCAAGTGATTGAATGCAGAGGCAAGCAAAGCTCGACGTCTAAACACGCTAACCTCCAGTACTTGCAGGCTAGACAAATTTTTTACAAATATTTTGAAACTATACCATGCAGATCCTTTACACATGGAGACACATGTTTGTAACTAATTATTACCAGCTTACTTTCACAAGTTGACTGTAACAAGTACCGATACAGATCTCTCTCTCTCTCTCTGAAACCCCTTGTCTTTCCTCTATCCATCTCTCCACCCATAAAAGCCCCTCTCTGTTTTATGTGCACACACAATTGACATCAATCTCTTTTCCCTTAACTTGTACCTATTCGCAGCACTAAATTTGGTATCCATTAGCTAGTACACGGATGAGTATTTTTGCATTTTTGCATGTTTTAAAAAATTTCAATTGACTTTTGCTGTTTTCTGGGAGATCAAATTTTTGTAATTTCTAAACTTGCAGGGGTGCAGCTCTACCTCTTAATACTCCAAATGTTCCATGCATCTTTGATCCTCATGGAAGAGCTGGCATATGTGGTGATTGGCTGCAGGGTTCAAGCTTGGAAGCTGCAGCATTAAGTGGCATGGCTCTTGCTAATCATGCAAGTTCCTTTTCTTTTTCTTGTTCCTCCTTTGTGTGTACCAGTTAATTTCCTGTATTATGTTAACTAAGATTACTGCAACTCTACTGAAGTGTCAATATTCCATTACTTGTATCTATTCAACCCAAGTGTTGATTTGATCTGTTGTTACTGGACATGCTCTGAGTAATTTTCTGGGCAAAGGAAAGATATTTTTTTTAGCAGATGTTATAGTCATCGATTCTCTCAAATGCTAAAATCTAACACAGTATGACAATGCAGATAGCAGATTACTTGCAAAGTGGGGGGCAGTGTCCAGATGAATTCGCTGTTGGTTTAGGCAATGAGTTCCAACCACTGAGAGGACATGATATTGGGCAATTTCCAGGATTGCAGTCTGAGGAGGACATAAACAAGCCGCAGGCTGTTCAGCTTAGTGCCTGAATGTACATGTGGGTATAGTTCTATTAGCATATTGTGTTTTTGTTTGCTATTCTCCTTTTTTTTCCCTTTTCTTTTTTTTTGGGGGGGGGGGGATTGGGGCAACGAACCAAGCTACTCGTGAGCAGCTTGTTCAAATGCTCAACTTGAGTTTGGGTTTGACCAAACTCAAGTCGAGCTCGAGTGTAGTCTTTAGTCAAGTACAAGCACGATGGTCTTATGCTCAAAAGCCTGTCAAGCATTTCGAGCTTTTGTATATATATTTCTATTTTTTTATGTATTAATTGTAGAATTACTTAAATATCAATATTTCTAAGATTAATTACACGTCCTACCATGTCCTACCAGCTTATCTTTTGGAATAGTCAAGGGGTAATTTTCCATTTTAGATTAATCAAGAAATAAAACAAGTTGACCTTTAAACTTTAACCTCTATCATTCTCTGACTATTGGCAAATCACAACTCATAACCCTAAGCAACCCACCACCACGCTCATCACTCACCCTACCAGCACTCCACCACCATTGATAACCACCACCCTTTGTTTCTCAAGCTCAGCCTGTCAGTTCTCACCCCCACAACTGGCACAAGTGCATGTCAACCCTCAGCTGCTCATCTTCACCGCTTGCAGGAGTCACAACATCAGATTCAGCTGCAGATCCTCAGACTCAAAAGCTCAAGATTGATTTTTTTTTTTTCAATCTGAGATGTTGAGTTTCATTTTCTGATTGTTTTTTGTTGAAGAATGCAAAAAAGAAGAGTGGTGGGAAGGAAATAGTGAAAAGGGGGGACAATGGATACGGTCATGGTGGCAAGTCAATTTTGGAATGCTGATGTGTCTCTTTTTTTTCCATACAATTTTGATTGTTGGCCTGGTTGGATTTGTCTGGCAGTGATGGTTCATGCTTAATAATCTGAAAAGTAGGTGTGAGTTTTTCTGGCAGTGACGGATCAATTGTTCATGCTTACAATTTCCTTTGATTTGCAAATGATTTCTTGCTTTCATATATGGTTTTTATTGGATATTCCAGTTGAGAGAGATGCTTAATTCATCCTCTAGTTGTTTTGCTTAATAATCTAGAGGATGGTTGGCCTGGTTGGATTTGTCTGGCAGTGATGGTTCATGCTTAATAATCTGAAAAGTAGGTGTGAGTTTTTCTGGCAGTGACGGATCAATTGTTCATGCTTACAATTTCCTTTGATTTGCAAATGATTTCTTGCTTTCATATATGGTTTTTATTGGATATTCCAGTTGAGAGAGATGCTTAATTCATCCTCTAGTTGTTTTGCTTTTGAGAACTTGGATGATTTTTTTGTTCTAGAAAATTTGTCTGGTTTGAAAGAGGTTCCAATATATATATATATATATATTTTTTTGGGGTGGGCGTGGGGAAGGGGAACTGGTTGAGGCTTGAACGAGCTCAAATATTGGTCGAGTCAAGTTTGAGCCTCAATTTTTTTTAATACTCGATGAGCTTGAGCTCAAGCTCAAATTCGGGTATGCTCTTTTGTCTGTCGAGTCAAGCTCGAGTAGGGGTATATTCACCCCTAGTCTTATTTTCAAGTTCAAATGATGGTGCTTGAGTTTATTTTACGATGTGCTAATTGGTATTCTTGGTTGTTTTTATTACTTTTTGTTTCTGGTTCACTTTTTTAACATTAAGAGACAAAATGTGCAAGTGTATAACAAGCTTTACTTCATCATTGAGCTTGTCTGGAAGCATCCTTAGAGATGTACATCATCTTAATATGAAAACCATGGATGTAAATCTGCATCTATGGATGAAAAGCAGTAGCTAACTGTTAAGAGAATATAAGTATTTCTATAGATAATAAATTAGTAAAGGTATTTTTGTAAATAGTTTGTTAGATTTGTACTCCTATAAATACTAGTTGGTCACTCATAATATGGTGACTAGATGTTTTTCCTTCCAAAATACCTGTTGTCATGGTATCAGAGCTAAAGTCCTAGGGTTAGGGTTAAACATCTAGCAAAAGTACTGCTCACGCCGCACTGTTCATCGCGGCACTGTTCACGCCGCACGGTTCGTCTCGAGTTTTGACCCTTTCTTTGGTTTGAAATGCTATTCGTTGAAAGTTTATCAAAAAGTGTCAGAAGTAGAGGAGGTCGTAGAGGTCGAGACACCCGTGAGTGCATTCATTGTGGTTTGAAGAATCACAATCGTGATACTTGTTGGGATTTAGTTGGAAAACCTCCTCGGTTTGCTAATACGGTCATCACTGACCAAGCTGAATCAAGTTTTTCAGCACAAGGGTCCCAGAAGACTATTACCATATCCGAAAAAGATTATGTTAAATTCCTACAGTACCAAGTTACAAATCACGCATCTTTTCCCTTTGCTTCTTTAGCACAAAAAGGTAATGACTCATAGATTATTGACTTCGGGACTACTGATCATATGTCAGGTACCTCTAAAATTTTTTCTAACTTTCAAGAGTCTATTTCATTTCCTCATGTTACTTTAGCTGATGGATCTACCACTAAAGTTAAAGGACTAGGCACTGTAGAAATTAACCCATCTCTTCCGCTGTCTTCTGTTCTTTACGTACCTAGTTTGCCCTTTAATCTAATGTCTGTTAGTAAGTTCACTAAATCTCTACAGTGTTCAGTTACTTGTTCTCCTGATTCTGTTGTTATTCAGGATTTGAAGACAAAGAGAACGATTGGTGGAGGGCATGAGCATAATGATATTTATTTTCTCAACTCCAATGGTCCGATTGCGTGTCCTGCTACTGTTTTTCCTCTTGAAATTCACTGTCTTTTGGGTCATCCGTCTCTACAAAATTTGAAAAGTTGGTTCTTATTTTGAGTCAATTGTTTTCGTTAGAATGTGAGTCTTGTCAGTTAGGAAAGCATCATCGTGTTTCTTTTGCTCCTAGAGTCAATAAACGGGTTTCTGAGCCCTTTTTGTTGGTTCATTCTGATGTTTAGGGTCCTAGTTGAGTCACTTCAAAGTTAGGTTTTAAATATTTTGTAATCTTTATTGATGATTTTTTTCAGGATTACATGGCTTTATTTAATGAAAGATCGTTCTGAACTATATTCCATTTTTTGTGCATTTGTTACAGAAATAAAGAATCAATTTGGTGTGCCTGTACGTATACTTCGCAGCGATAGTGCGAAGGAATATTTTTTCACTCCATTTAATACCTTTATGACTAAATTTGGTATTATTCATCAGTCCTCACACTCCACAACAGAATGGAGTTGCTGAAAGAAAAATTGGACATTTAATCGAAATTGCTCGAACACTTTTGTTGCACATGAATGTGCCCAAATAATTTTGGAGTGATGCAGTTCTAACTGCATGTTATTTAATTAATCGCATGCTATCTAATATTATTGGAGGTCAATTACCTCATTCCATTTTTTTTCTCATGAACCTGTGTTTAAATTACTTTCTCGCATTTTTGGATGTATGTGCTTTGCTCATCAGCTTGCTCTTAGGATGGATAAATTAGATTCTCGTGCTATTAAGTGTATTTTCTCAGGATACGCATGAGCGTAAAAGGGGTATAGATGTTACAGTCCAATTTTAAATCGATCTTTTATTTGTGCTGATGTTATTTTCTTTCAATCCACTCCATATTTTATGAAACACGGTATGCCTTGTGAGTTAGACCAGCGTCCCTCTTTTTCCTCTCCTGTTTTACCAGTCACTTCTTCTTTATTACTCGAGTTATCTAGTTTACCAGATTCACTAGGTCAATTATCTCGTCCTAATCTTCAAGTTTATTCTCGTCGTTCCATGGTTGATAAAGCTCTTGATATGCCACGCACTTCACCAATTAACTCTCAATCTTTAAATTCAGTTATGACGCTCTTCTCAAAGTTAGATCTTCCTATTGCTTTACGCAAAGGTAAGAGGTATTGCACTTCTCATCTTATTTCTAATTTTGTTTCTTATTCTCGTCTCTTTATGTCATATTCTTCTTTTATTGCTTATCTTGATTCTGTCTCCATTTCTAAGTCTATTACCCATACTCTTAATCATCCTGGTTGGAGATTAGCTATGCAAGAAGAGAAGTGTGCTTTAGAGAAAAATGGTACTTGGGATCTTGTCTCTCTTCTTTCTGGTAAGCCAATTGTTGGTTGTAAATGGGTGTACACTATAAAAGTGCAATCTAATGGTTCTATTGATAGATTGAAGGCTCGTCTTGTAGCTAAGGGATTTACTCAGGTGTATGGAATTGACTACTTAGAAACATTTTCTCCTGTTGCAAAGATTATCTCTGTTCATCTTCTTATCTATTTGGCAGCAACTTATAATTGGCTATTACATCAGTTGGATGTGAAAAATGCATTTCAGCATGGAGATTTGGAAGAAGAGGTATATATGGAACAACCTCCTTGATTTGTTGTTTAGGGGGAGAATTCGTGGTTGGTTTGTCGTTTGAAAAAATTCTTATATGGATTGAAACAGTTTTCGAGGATTTGGTTTGGTCGGTTTAGTAGTGTTGTCATGGAGTTCGGTCTGACAAGATGTGGAGTAGATCACTCTGTATTTTATCGGCACTCTAATGTTGGTAAAATTTTATTAGCTGTTTATGTGGATGATATTGCGATTACAGATGATGATGTTGTGGGGATCCAGAAACTTAAATCCAATCTGCAAGCAAACTTTCAGACAAAGGATTTAGGTCATCTACAATATTTTCTGGGTATTAAGGTAGTTCGGTCTAAATATGAAATTTATTTATGTCAAAGAAAATATGTACTCGATATACTGAGTGAAGTTGGGATGTTAGGTTGCCGATCTGTGGATACTCCAATGGATCATAATGTGAAATTAGTAGGAGATCAAGGTGCATTACTAGATGATTCTAGATAATATGAAGACTTGTGGGTAAATTAAATTATCTCATTGTAAAGAGACCTGACATTTCATTTGCAGTAAGTGTTGTGAGTCAATTTCTTGATACCCCTCGTACTAGTCATTAGAATGTTGTTATACGGATTCTCAGGTATCTTAAGAGTGCTGGAAAAGGGTTGCTGTATCCAAATCATGGACACACCGATATTGAAGGATATAGTGATGCAGATTGGGCTGGTTCTGCCTCAGATCGAAGATCGACCACAGGATATTGTGTGTTCGTTGGTGATAATTTAGTGTCGTGGAAGAGTAAGAAACAAACAGTTGTCTCCAGATCAAGTGCAGAATCGGAATACCGCGCTATGGCTCACACTGTATGTGAGTTGGTTTGGTTGAAAAGCATGTTACTTGAAATTGGGTTTGAGCATAAATAGCCTATGAATTTAGTGTGTGATAATCAGGTGGCTGTTCATATTGCTTCTAATCTAGTGTTTCATGAAAGGACAAAATATATTGAAATTGATTGTCATTTCATTTGAGAAAAATTGCTTGACGGAATTATTAAGACATCTCATGTACCGTCTGTAGATCAATTGGCTGATTTGTTTACTAAGAGTTTAGGGGGTTCTAGGGTGAGATGTATTTGTAACAAGTTGGATGCTTATGATATATATGCTCCAATTTAAGGAGGAGTGTTAAGAGAATATAAGTATTTCCGTAGATAATAAATTAGTAAGAGTATTTTTGTAAATAGTTTGATAGGTTTGTACTCCTATAAATACTAGTTGGTCACTCATAATATGGTGATTAAATGTTTTGTCTCCCAAAATACCTGTTGTCACTGACCTCTGATTTTGTTGCGTGTGCTGAGGCTTGAGAGCTATAATTGTATGGTTCTTCTAGTATGACTCGTGTTGACCATTGGCTCCAGATTTAGATTTAAGATTATAGGTTTCAAAGATCAATGGGTCATTGTTTCATGAAACAATTACTGCTTGTTAGATGGTTGACTACATACATGAGCTATGTGCTACTAGATCATTAGAACATAGTCAATAGGTGACCTCCAAAACATGGTCAGTAGATGAGCTCCAATCTTACTTCCCCTCTTTTGCCCACAGAAAAAGTTTTAAGACATGCTTAGTTAGGGATTTCACCATACATTAGATTGAACACCATCAGCAGATATCTATAATTGGTTGTGGATGGAAGGTTTGGGTAGGTTAGGTAATGTCTTTGATTGCTGAAACAGGTTTTTCATATATACTTCATAAATCTCTTGAGTTGCTTATGGTTTTGCTGGATAATCATTCTTGTTGCAGTGAAGACACATGACTAATACAATAATGGAGCTGTTTGTTTTCTTTACTGTTCATCTGTTGTTTTCTAGAAAAGTAGGCCCTGAAGATACTATAATGTGTCAAAAAATGTATATACATATGCAGCAATCCTATATGTCCAAGTTTTCTTTTTTATGCACTTGCAGGTTTAAGAGACTGCAGCAGAGCGTTTGTGGATTCAACATCAGGTCTATATATGAATTTGGAACTAGGGCGTTTAACTTAGCAGGCTGGCATCCTAGTCCACAATATAGATTTTTTGTGGATGAAGAGATCAAAGAAGCACGGAGTACATAGGACGCAATGCATCTGAGAAAGCAACAACGGTTTGTTGTTTTCTGCTCCGCTCTTATGTGCTGACTTTAGATACCAATTCACAATTGTTGGCTGTTCTTTGCAGTAGATGTTGTGGGGATGGAATATGTTAAATGAGGATATGGTACTGAACAAAGATCATGTTGACTTGCCAGCCACATTTTAGTGATTACAGTCTTGATTCCAGTCTCTAAGTTCTTACGAGTTGGTCTCAGCAGGAGAGGTTTTCTTGTTTCGTAGGTTTGACCAAGTTATTTCCCGAATAAATCAATTTTGTTTGTTATATGATTGGTCCCTTAGATTTCATAGTTCATGTTGTTTGTGACAGCTTTGCAATTGATAGCAGAATCAATCCAAAAGGCGAAGTATTGTAATTTAAACCTCAAACTCACAGGCCTAATGTTTGTTGCGATAAATCTGATTAATTTGAACCAAGATGATGACTAATTATTGAGAAGTTAGAAAAAGACTAATTAAAACTATGGAGGATTAAGGTTGAAATTTTGCCAAATGAAGTAACTTGGATTAATAGTATAAATTCATTCATCAGAGCTAATAAGAAAAACACGTTCAACGTTGCTATGGTTCTCTGGAAGCTGGCCTACGTTTACTTCTATTCCTGGTCTAGAATTTGTTTTTGTTGAGTCCTGTTTAAGTTGATTATGGTGAATATATTTATAAGTATTCCCTCCGTCCCATTGAAACTGTCATGCTTTCCATTTTGGTCTGTCCCAAAATGTTTGTCACGTATCTAAAATGGCAAATGAATTTTTCTCCTTCTTCTAATTTTACCCTTCTGACACTATCTTTAAATATGTGGATCCAGCATAAATTGTCAAAAGAACAAGACACGCTTTGAAGTGCGTGGCTGATGCTAATGTTTACTAGCGCGTGCAGTGCAAAATAAGCAAAAAGTTAGTGTAGCTTTAATAATGTAGTTAGAGCTGTTAATCGAGCCGAGTCGAGTCGAGTATTTGGCTGCCGAGCTCGACTCGAGCTCGTTAGGAAAACGAGCTTTAAAATGTGTTCGAACTCGACTCGTTAAATGTACATGTGGCTGGAGTTCGAGCTCGAGCTCGACTCGTTTATCACAAACGAGTCGAGCTTCACGAGTTCGAGCTCGAGCTCGTGCAAATTAACCTTAATAAAAATCGATAATTTTTAATTTTTATAATTTTGATTTCTAAAATGACAAATATGCCCTTCATTAACGAGCTCGCGAGTATCAAACGAGCCGAACTTACTCGGTTCGTTAACTAAACGAGCATGTTTCGAGTTCGAGCTCGACTCGTTAACCAAAATTAACGAGCCGAGCTCGAGCCTTAACGAGCCGAGCTCTAACGAGCTTTCGAACTACTTGATTAACTTAACAGCTCTAAATGTAGTGGGCCCAAAGTGTTGACTAGTTTGCATAAACCATTTGAATAACTTCATCCGCACCACTATAGTCAAAATTTGGACAGCTTGGCGAGGATAATTTAGGAATTACAGACAGCTATCTCTTATTCTTGTCTACTATTGAAAAATATTCCAATTCCCGAAAAGTGACAAACTTTTCGGGACGGAGGGAGCATTATATTTCGGTGAACTTGACAGTTTATTAAACACTAAAGTGTATTTTGTAAGATTAGAGAATAAGAAATTGAAAAATAACCACTAGAGGCCATTTTTTAAGTTGTTTAAGAAACCAAAAAAAAAAAAAATATATATTAAACTAAAAGAAAACTAGTTAGAATTTAAGCTTTGATGGACTCGATTTTGGCATATAATAAGTTAAAAGGGAAATAGATTCAAACACAAATAACATCAGCTCAATCCAAAAACAAATATATTTTTGTCATTAACATGGGATCCAATAATAATCCACTTATATTTAGGTCATATTAATCCTATTAATTTAAGATCATTTTCCAGTCATGCTGCCTTATTGTGCTAGAAATTGCCACCGTCAGAGCTCTTCTTTTGGTTTAATGCAATTTGATACCAATTAATAAATCTAATATCCTCTCTCCTGATTATTGTATAGATTTTAAGAAAGAATAACCAATTGGACAATCTAAATGGATTATCACGAGGAACATCCTAAAATGTGGCCTAAAATGATAATAGAAACTATTCAATTTATTAAAAGGAATAATAGATTATTCAACCAAATAATAGGAGTAGAGAATCGAAAAATGTGAGGAATTGTCAAATTCCTCATCCAGCTATGAAAAAAGGAATTATGTGATATGATGCGATGAGAGAGAAAATTAAAAAAGAAAATGGAGTGATTGAAAAAAAAATAAAGAAAGGATCAATCACACAAATGTGTAAAAAGTTTAAAATTAATCCATTTTGATCAAAACTTACCCAAAAAAAATGGAAGTCTTTGTTACAAAAAAAATAAAATAAAATAAAAGCAAGAAATAGGCATATTTATAAGTTGAACCAAATCATAAGGTTAGAGAAATGGAAAGATGTCAAGAATTGTACAAATCTTAATGTGGATAGAAAAAGGAATTATACGATTGTGGTTGGAGAGAATTGAAAAGAAAATAAAAGTATTATTTGAGTGTACGGGTGTAAACGAGTCTAATTAATCCAAAGATTCTAATGTTGAAGTTTTCTAAGCATGAAACTAATTTTGAAGAAGTTGAAATTTGACTTGATTTTCAGCATCTCATGAAACACATGCTCAGCAGGAAGTGGGTACAAACACATCCCTGAATACCTTTTTATTCCTCCACTTCCATAATTAATAGAATTCCAAGTAGAGCTTGATACATAAATAGGATTTAATCGTTTTATATATTGGGAACATTTTTCCCAGTTTCAAGTGAAAAAAACCGGAATTGATTTTGCATAATCGGATTTTCTCCTCCACTGTGGCAAAATGTTGCCTAGAAGGCTTTTCTGGAGGTTTGGAGGCTGAGGGCTGGCTACAAAAATCAGCCCTGCAGTTTCTTCCGGGAGCTTTTTCAGGGCCAAGTACCCGGATGAACTTGGTTCTTCTCTATCTTCCTGCCATTTGAGTTATGGTCACTGCATTTTCAGTTCTTAATCTTTCCTCAGTTGATGTCTCAGATACCCCTGCATAATTGCCTTCTAAGAAGAAACCAGGATGCTTGGGTTGAGGTAATGACACAGTCTCGTTGCCTAACATGATGACGACTGCTGCCATTGTCGGCCTGTCCTCTGGATGTTTCTGAACACACAATAAAGCCACCTGAATGCATCTCAACACTTGCGATTCGACAGATGATTCCTTCAAGCACTCATCCATTAACTGCAAGGCCTTATCTTCAGTCCACAACAGCCATGCCTGGAGATGAAAAAACATGCTAGGCCTGGTCATGTTTAAAAGTATACAATGATGGAGCCAAGGGGGGCAGAGGGGGGCAATGGCCCCCCCTAAGTTCTGAGAATTTTAATTCATAATATGTAAATATGTGTGTAAAATAAAATTGGCCCCCCCTAAATTTTTACAATTTTAGTTTATATTATGAGAGTTGATATATATATATATATGAATTAGTCATCTTTGAATGGAACGGCTTGCAAGCTTTAATTTGCCATAAATGTCCATATGCCTATTACATTCATTGTTTGGCTCATAGGCTTCAACTTGCTAATGTTGCAGTTTCTAGAGAAGTAGCTTCTGTTCACCAATTCATAGAACCAAGAACTTAAAAAAGGAATGATACTTTGAAATGTAAATGGATGGTAAGGCTTGACAAGCCTCTGTTACCTCTTTTCTCCTTCCTTCTCCGAATCATGCAGCATAAGACGAAGCAAAGGACAAGTATCCCTCCAAAAACTGTTGGAATCACTAGAATGAGCAATGCTCTTTTCTTGTTCTGATTTTCGATTGCATCTGCATTCAGAAAATTCACTGTCACTGGTTGCATCCATAATGCTGACAAGTGACATGAATCCCTACTGTTTAGCAGGCTAAATCTTTAACTGATTAAAGGCATTACTGACACCGTCACTGGGAGGAACCACAGGATGCATACGACTAATTAATGTACGTTGACGTTTGCAATAATGATTCAATGCCCAAGTTGTTAAAATTACATTACAATAACTAAAGAACGAATATGAGAAATTATGGAGATAGTTTACCTAATTCTGATTTTGGCATCCGTAGATATATGTCTTGCTCGCTATATTTGTCATCATATTCTTGAATATCAATTAAGTCACGGAACCACATCAGACAGCCACTACCTCCGTTGGTAATATTAGAGTCTGTGAAAGCAATACAAGAACAATCCTTCAGGCATTCTCTCTCACATTCCCGAGTGGTCATGCTCTGACTCAGCCGAAAGTCCAAGAGGTCTGGCAATTTAACATTTTTAAGCTTTATAAAGCCATCTCCTGACTTGCAATCCAAGGGGGTTCTCCTCTTGCATCCACCAGACCAAATTAGTACATCCCAATCTCCTTTTGACTTTGGAACAAATCCGTCCAAGCACTGACAAATTGGATTACTATTGATCCTGCAAATGCCATTAGGACCACACTTACCATATTCTTCACACATATCATAGGGCAGCCTATATATGAGTATCCAATCAGAACTTCCTTTATTCATCATATAGTGTTCAATCACGCCTGACTCATCCAACGTTACCCTCGAGAGTACTGAACTATCCGTCATTTCATACGTATAATATATTTCTGTATCATTATAAACAAAAATAGGCGCAATGAAACTGCTGCTCCTCACAGGAGAACCACTAAATCGCTCTCCATTCCACGGCCCAGTGCGGAACTTCTTCTCTGATCCCTTGCGAAGAACAAACTGAGGCAACCCAATAGTGTCAAGTTTGTAACTGAATTCTCCAGGAGAAGGGTCATTTTGATTTTTCCATGATGTCAAGTACCAAGTTTGGCCGGTCTGCAAGTTTTTTCCTTCCTTCATTCCTGGAAGAAGTGTGTCAGTTGTGAAATCAAAGCTCTGCCATACATAGCTTTCTGCTTTAAAACCATCTTGTCTTTTAAGAACAAGGTTTCCAGAATCCAAGAGCTCTGCGACCAAGTTCATTGGAGCATCTGCCGAAGAAGAATTCGATGACCAGATGATCCTTTTCGTTCCATTGAGAAGTACAAGATTTCCATCACCGTGGATTGTTAGAACTCCATCTGAATCTGTTAGTGGACTTACCTTGTTTGCAACCCACACAATCGTTTCAGGAGATCTGTTGTACCATATTCCCAGATATCGATTAGTGGAACTTGGTGGTTTAAAGAATCCCAGCACAAAAGTTCCACCTGAGGAGACCAGAGTCTCACCATCGGCCATGGTTTGGTTTTGGCTGATTCTATCGGTTCCATTGCAGGATCGGATCAAGAGAAACGAAATCAGGACGTACGAAAACATCGAATTTGAGATGGACTCCATCTGCATGTCGGCAAATCAGCTACTCTGAAAGTTGCATTTTCAACTATGTACATTTTTCCCCTTTGAACCATGGCTTTTCAAACTTGTCGGCTGGAAAATGAATTGCAAGACTCGGAAGAAAACTACTCAACTAGATATTTCCTGTCATGAGGATATGACATTGTCAATCGCTCTTGATTTGTCATCAAGTCTCCTGGAATTACTAACCAAAGTATCGGCGTTTACTTGCAATTTTTAGAATTTTTAAGGTGTCAATTTTTGTGACAATCTAAACACGAATTTCGGTTCCAACTGTTTATTGGGAAATAGGAGGGATATTAAAGATAACTTTAAAAGTTATAACTCTCTCCTCCAAAAATTTTTCCAACGATACTGTTAGAATAAATCATCCCTACTACTAAATGCATGTCACATGTCCAAGATGTGAAGTTAAAATTCAAATTGAGATGATATTGCATCTAAACTCGCTAATGTACATGCGTAAGAAAGTTAATCCATATTGATATCCTGTTTCACTGTCCGTACATTTGAAGTTTCTTAATTTGTTGATTTATAAGACACTTTTATAGATCTACCAAATTATATAGTTTACCGAAATCATTGTTTGTTATGAAGCAGAGGTATACAGGTAGCAAGCTTTACAATGGTTATTGAGTAACTTATGGACTTTTCCATAAGTTGCTCAATAGTTAATAAAAGTGTGTTAACTAGGGATATAAATGAGTCTAAATACATCGAATACTTTTAGTGTTCAAATTTGTTTGATTATTTTGATAAGTTCAATTTTTTTTTTTAAATTCGACTTGTTTACTTTTCGGGTCGAGATTGAATGAGCTTTTATTGAACAGAACTCAAGTTGAGTTCAGGTGGTATGAACATGTTACATGTAAATTTTACTTATATACTATTCGAGTCCAGTTTGAACCAAACTTAAAAATTTATCAAATACAAATCATTATTCAAACTTGGTGTGATTAGTTAACAAACCAAACTCGAGCGAGTTATTATCAAGTTGAACTCGATTTCAAGTATTGAATAATTTAGTTCGTCTTTCAACCCTAATGTCAACTCGATTATTAATGAGTGTAGTTGGCAAAGGATGCGAAGTCAAATTTTTATGTTAATTAATCAACTTTTTTCTTTCCATCCAACATTTCCTCTTAATCCGCTCTAACAACCAATGACCATCCCTATCAATTTCTCCCCAACTGCTATTGTCCCTATCCCTCTCATGGCACTGCAAACCACCTCCTTCATCTTATCCCCCCATAGCAATCAACCTCCACTCTTTCTCCGCCACGATCTAACTCAATCTCTTCCCACTCCTCCCCATTTCCTCTTCCTCATTCTCCTACTAACAAACACCCTTCATTCCCCCTCGTCCCCCCCCTCCCCACAAAAATAGCCAATCAATCTGATTTGGAAAAGCTGGTACATTAGCAAATTACCATGATTGTTCTTATTTAACCCTTAGGCTTTACACCTCAGCATGAATTAATTCTGAAACTTTTGTATGGGCATCATATTGGTTGAGATTGGCAACATATAACTAACTAGCAAAATTGGGACTTTATAGGAACCTTAGACATACTTTTGGATAGCATGATATCATGCTATCGAATATGAGGGCCAATTTGTGAAAAAACAATAAATCTCTGAAAGAAAGTTCATCTCTTCTATGTAGGCATGCGGCAAAAAACAGCAGTGCAACACTGATTGGGAACGTCTAGAAGGGAGGAGTGAAAGAAAAAAGTGGATTAATTACTATTAAAATTTGAATTGGCATCATTTACCGACTGGACTGTTAATAATTGAGTTGGTACTCTTTCATTGACCATTGAGCAACTCACGGAAGAGTCCCTAAGTGGGTTAATCAATAATTATAGTATAGCTTGTACACGTATATTGTATCCGTATTTGAACCCGGCCCTACTGTTACATCATGTATTGAACGGGCCCGTTCAAAATCAGCTTGGAAACAACGCTGCAATTTCATTGGGTTTGGAAGAGATTCAAGAAGAGGATGGCTCGCGTAAAACATTTGGAACTACACTGAAATCTCGGTTTTGATTAGCTGTTTTTGGAGGCGTTTTTGAAAAATTTTACTGTAGCATAGTTTTTAGAGTATATTTCAGAATATTTTTTGAAATATTTAAGAGTAGTAAAATTTTTAGAATATATTTTGGGATATTTTTTAAACATAAAAAAAAATTTAGACTACTTTTTAGAATACCATTTAGAGTACTTTTTAAAAATTTTTATAGCATTTTTAGAATACCTTTTATTGTAAGTTTAATTTAAACAAAAAATAACTTTTGTCAAATTATAAGTAAATTACATTACTCAAAGTGTAACTTTCTATTTCTAACTAAAACTTACCCTTTCAGACATATACTTACTGATTTTAATTAAAACTTACTAACGTTATTATTAATTATTTTAATACAATATTTAAAAAGACACAAAAAAAAAAACTTGATCTGTTGCTAAATTTAATGGACCTTTTCTTCCTTTGTTTAACGGAATTAGAAACTAAAATAATACCATTAAACAATTAGAAATATTAAAAGCCCGGACTGTTGAGACTTCATACGGAAAATTGCAAAAACTTGTGTACTGTCATGTGCCAAAACCTGAACATAATCTCTAAATTACGATCAAGTTGCCAAGCTATTGATTAGTTGTTCTCCATAATACAAAGGCTGAGGACCAGTTTCAAGTGATTTAATGTTCTATTAGGAACATTTTTCCCAGTTTCAATTGAAAAAACCTGACTTTATATTGCATAACCGGATTTTCTCTTCCACTGGGGCCAAATGTTGCCTCGAAGGCTTTTTTGGAGGTTAGGGTAGGGGGCTCAGAGCGGGCTGCAAAAATGTGCCCTCCAGTTTCTTCCGGGAGCTTTTTCAAGGCCAAGTACTCTGATGAACTTGGTTCCTCTCTATCTTCCCTCCAGTTGAGTTATGGTCACTGCATTCAAAGTTCTTAATCTTTCCTCAGTTGATGTCTCAGACACCCTTGCATAATTGCCTTCTAAGAAGAAACCAGGATGCTTTGGTTGAGGTAATGACACAGTCTCGTTGCTTAACATGATGACGATTGCTGCCATTGTCGGCCTGTCCTCTGGATGTTTCTGAACACACAATAAAGCCACCTGAATGCATCTCAACACTTGCGATTCGACAGATGATTCCTTCAAGCACTCATCCATTAACTGCAAGGCCTTATCTTCAGTCCACAACAGCCATGCCTGGAGATAAAAAAACATGCTAGGCCTGGTTATGTTTAAAAGTATAGAAATTCAGTGTAAGAGAAAGGAGAGAGGAATTGCTCTATGTTTCATTACATGCCCTAAAAGACTCTGATGCTGATCTGAATGGTCAAGTGTCCTATTCCTTCTGCCACTCACAAGCTCCAGTAAGAGCACACCAAGACTGAATACATCAGATTTGACTGAATATGTCCCAGAAAATGCATATTCAGGGGACATGTAGCCACTGCATGAAACATCAGATTTTAAGTCAAAAAATGGCCACTTGACAAATCCATGATAAATGGTTGTCGTACTTACAATGTTCCTATCACCGTCCTTGTCTTGCCTTCTGTCTGGTCTCCTCGAAAACTTTTAGCAATGCCGAAGTCAGAAATTTTTGGGTTCAACTCATTGTCTAGCAAAATGTTGCTAGCCTTGAGATCCCTGTGGATAATTCTTAATCTGGAGTCTTGGTGAAGATAAAGAAGTCCCCTAGATATTCCCAGGGCAATCTCAAAGCGTTTTTTCCAAGTAAGCAACTTTTTTCTACTCTGATCTGCAGGCAGGATGCGGTATTATCAGTCAATTCTTGTTATTTTGTCCATCTTTAATTGATCTCTTAGCTGCTAATGATTGAAGAAATAAAATCAGACCAAAGATAAAATAGTCCAAGCTCCCGTTGGTCATGTATTCATAGATTAGCATCCTTTCATTTCCATCAAGACAACAGCCTAGAAGCCTTACAAGATTTCGGTGTTGAAGTCTGGAGATCAAAATAACTTCATTCTTAAACTCTCCCAGACCTTGCCTAGAGGTTTGTGAGAGTCGTTTCACTGCTATTTCTACTCCAGTTGCCAATCGACCCTACAATATTCAAATAAGAAGTAATGATTTTATTTGATTCTTGTAAAGATAGAACACAAGTAAGTGTACCTTGTAAACAGGTCCAAATCCACCTTCTCCAATTATAGTGGAGAAAGAGAAGCTCTTAGTAGCCATAGTCACAGCTTCCAATTGATACAATGGTAACTCTATGTCATCATTGCCTGTTTTCATACCTAGAATAATTTGCTACTAGTGAGTGGACTATAATTTTTCTGTTGGCTTTACCTTTTTCTGAAAGTACAGTTGCATTGTACTTGCAGTACAAGGATAAAATTAGAACCAAGAACTTAAAAAAGGAATGATACTTTGAAATGTAAATGGATGGTAAGGCTTGACAAGCCTCTGTTACCTCTTTTCTCCTTCCTTCTCCGAATCGTGCACCAGATGACAAAGTAAAGGACAAGCATCCCTCCAGAAACTATTGGAACCACTAGAATAAGCAATGCTCTTTTCTTCTTCTGATTTTGGATTGCATCTGCCTTGAGAAAATTCATTGTTAGCAGTGAACAGACTTTCACTGGTTGCATCCATAATGCTGACAAGTGAAGTGAATCCCTACTGTTTAGTAGGTTAAATCTTTACTGAAGAAACCAAAAGATGCATTCCATGAATGATTCAAGGCCCGAGTGTTACATATTACATTACAATGGCTAAACAACGAATATGAGAAATTATGGAGATAGTTTACCTAATTCTGATCTTGGCATCCGTAGATATATATCTTGCTCGCTATTGTCATCATATTCTTGAATATCAATTAAGTCACCGAACCACATCAGACAGCCACTACCTCCGTTGGTAATATTTGAGTTTGTGAAAGCAGTACAAGAACAATTCTTCAGGCATTCTCTCTTACATTCCCGAATGGTCATGCTCTGATCCAGCCAAAAGTCCAAGAGGTCTGGCAATTTCACATTTCCAAGCCTTATAAAATCTTCTCCGGGCTTACAATCTAAGGGGGTTCTCCTCTTGCATCCACCAGACCAATTTAATGCATCCCAATCTCCTTTCAATTTCGGAACAAATCCGTCCAAGCACTGACAAATTGGATCACTATTGGTCTTGCAAATGCTATTAGGACCACAATTACCATATTCTCCAC